TAGTTTAATTAGTGAACTAGCTTTATTGAATGAAAGATGATACTTAAATGAAGTAGCTTCATAAAAACCTACATGCTTTGATGAACTCATGCTTAGATGAAGTAGCATGCTTATTTATTTATGCAACTTAATGTCATGCAAATTTATTTACACTCATGCAAATTCATGAAGAAGTAAAAGATAAAATCCTCCCTTAAACTTGGTTGTTCCTTCTTCACGTTCCAGCCTTGAATATGATGGTGGATGTTCTTCTTTTGGATTGAAAAAAACTTCTGAAAATCTAAACTTGGTTTGAAATTCCCATATTAACCTCGAATAAACTTCTAGAAGCTTCTCGAATGCAAACAACTTGCCTCGATCAAACGGTCTCAAGGAGATTGCAGAAAATGATGTAAGACGCATAGTCGGGATCACATCACTCTCAGTCACCTAGGAACCTAAATGATATACCTCTTAACTTGTAGGAGCATCAAACTGACAACATGATTATACAATGAAGTGCATCTCTTGGAACTGTAGGGGTGAGAAATCCAAAATTTATTCGAAGTTGCAGAGATTTAATTTGGGAGGAGAAGCTTGATATTATTGGCCTGCTAGAAACGAAAGTGAGGGAGGGGACTGGTAAGACCTTTCAGAAAAAAAGTTATAAGTTCAAAGATTATTTCAAAGTTTCTGCACAAGGGGGATTGATTATCCTGTGGAACACGAGTCAACTGGAATTAAAAATCTGAGATGCGACTGACCAATCCATTCACTGTGAGGTCAAAGAGGGGGAGAAGACGTGGCTTACCTCATTTGTCTATGTTCAACCCCATACGATTAAGAAAGGATTTTGGGAAGATATGAGAAGCTATTGCGACCTTGTGATGAAACCATGGCTAGTCATAGGAGATTTTAATGACTTTGCTTTGCTTAACGAACGGAAAAGAAGCAATTCAAACTGTGTTGACCGTATTATATAATTTTGTGAACGGTGGGACAAATACAATTTAATGGGCACTGAATGGATGGGAAATTAATTTACCTGGGTTAGAAGAATTAACGGCCAAGTAACTCTCCAAGAACGTCTTGATAGAGCACTATGTAATGCGGATTTTATAACCTTGTTCCCTAATATTTGAACGATCATACCTAACGAGATGCTTCTCGGACCAATACCCAATTTCGGTAAACACCAATATGTAATCTACACGTCATCATTTTCTCGACATATCCAATTTCAAATATATATTAGTATTTTAGCTAATATAATAAATTCGAATTCGCATAAAAATTCTGAAAAATGCTATCGATGTTTATTCGATATTAATTTCTATCACCAACTCGAAAACTAACTTTAACTTCATTAAATTAACCTTGCAAGTCCCTTGAATTATCATTTATCACAATAAATTCACTTTACTTTTCAACAATTCATATTTAGCCACCATTCAACCTTTCTTTTAAAATCAAACCCAACATTTCAATAACATTCAAATTAGTCCTTTGACATTCACTTTAATCCATATCGATCATTATTTTCACCATTCACACAGCATTTCCAAAGTAGGACCTTAACATTACACTTTTGCAATTCAACTACCAAATTTTTAAAACTTGAGAAATGAGTGCTTACTTCTATACCACTTTCCACGTTGATCCAAATTCAACATTCTAACCATAATTTCCAGCATAGTACACTAGTTTTTTCACAATTGCCTATTAATCCTTCAATTTCCCAATTCTTACGAAAAGGTCAATAAAACTTAACCAAATTACAATTTGATCCAAAACATAATTCCAAGCACATAAGATCATTTTTATACTCAATCTAAACCCTAAGGTTTTTTTTTTAAAAAAAAAATTACAATAATTCCCCCTCAAGGTCGAATATCAAAGGATCATTTACTAATGATCTCCAACTTGTTTCAAGCTTGAATTCATCACCTACAATGCATTTCCACTCAATTCCAACCATTCTCAATTAACTCCATATCAAAACAATCAAAATCAACATTTTACATAAAACCCCATAGCGGCCGAATATACAAACAAGTCCCTCTAATTGTTCTAAATCAATTTTCATGCTTGATTATAACTAGAGGTGCTTATGGAGTGAGTCGATTGCGAGTTGGGAAGTGCTCGACTCGTGCTCGTTAAAAAAATTTGCTGCTCGACTTGACTCGTTGCTCGTTAAGCTCGTTAAAATTGTGCTCGACTTGTGCTCGTTAAAAAATTACTGCTCAACTCGACTTGTTGGTCGTTAAGCTCGACTCGTTGCTCGTTAAGCTCACTAAAAATTGATCTTATTTTTTTAACTAAAAATAAAATCTACTAATACTATATGAGGATATTAGGGTTGGGGTTCTTTTGTATTAAAATAATATTATTAATTAATAATATTTTATTATTTATTAAAAAGTAATACATTAGTTAACTTAATATTTTTATTATTATTTATTAATAAATTAATAATTATTATTTAGATTTTTTTTGAATGAAATAATTTTGAAGTAATTATTAAAAATATATTTTTAAAAATTAATGAGCTGCTGGCGAACTTATCAAGACGAGTTAGACTTTGCTCGGCTCAGCTCGTTAAGGTCTCGAGACAAGTTCAAGTTCGAGTCAAGCCAACTCGAGTCGAGCGTTTACCGAGTTTTGGCCGAGTCAAGTTTGAGCTGCCCACGAGCTACTTAACTCGTTAAGCACCCTTAATTATAACTCTACAACACTATTAGTATCAAAATTCAACCTTATTTCATTAAATTCTAATCTCCCATTCATCCACCATAATCACCAATTTCACAATTCAAGCAAGGAAACAATGAAATATTTATACCATCTTGTAGAGAATTCAACAAAAAATAATTTTCTATTTCACCACTTAGTCCTAAATCTAATTAAAATGGATCAAAAATGAAAAACAAAATAAAGCTTGCTCACCTTCTATGGAAGCTCGAGGCTACGAGAGGAAGAAGTGATTTTCTTGAATTTTCCACAAAAATATCATGGGACACTTGATTTTAGTCTAATTAAAATGAATTTAAAATTCATTTAATCCCTAACGTCCAAAATATCCTTAATGAATCTTAATATTTATCTCAATGCCATCCTTTTATCTTCATTTTAATAACATTAAATAAATATAAAATATATTTATCAATTTCCATATTTGCCCTTTCAATTTTCCAAAAATCAATTTAGTAACGAAATTCTATTATTCCACTTTAACATGGAAAATCCACTTAATTCCACGACTCACATTAAATTCTATTGATTAAAAATATCATATAATATTTCTAACCTCAAACTACATTTCTTCAAATTTTTATAAACTTCCAATTCGATCAGGCTATCTGAATATTTTACCGAACTTTATCGTTTAATAGCATTTTATACAACCTCTGGATCAAAATAATGAAACACACGAAAACGTCATTCTTGGGGGTGAACTATTTATTTACAAACCCAAAATATACCATTTTAAAAAAAATGCTTTGGTCCCTAAACTTAACAACTTTATACTTTGACCACCAAACTTTCAAAATTTATATTTTAGTCACTAGTCAAAATTTTGGGATATTACAAATTGTCAGCACAGACCTTAAAAATACAACTGCTTGAACTAAGAACATTTAAAAATAATAATATTCTTTTTAACCATTGAAGCTACTTGAGAGTAGAAATGTTCAAATTCGGGTACTAAAATATCACCATGTGTCCCGACCCTTTAAAGCTGGGTTCATGTAAGTTGAGTACCTATAAATTTTGAGTACCTGTATTTTCGGGTCACGAGCACTCGATTATATTTTTATTTTATTTTTTAAATTTTATTATTTTTAAAACTACGTAAAAAATATAAAATTTAAATTTAAACCACTCATAAAATTTAAAAATTTAAATTACATAATAAAAAATAAAACTTATTAAACATGATTACATGAAACTAAAGAAATATAATTAAATTTAAAATATTTTAAAATTAAAAGAAATAATTTAGATCATTAAGGTAAAATAATTTAAGAATAAAAAATTTAAATATATATAATAATTTTAAGCTGAAGTGACTAGTCAATGAGCCTGATCATTTAGGTCGAGTATTTTTGAACAGGAAGGATTCATGTAAGGAGGATAGAGGCCACAGAAATGAGAATGTTTCGATGGACATGCGGTAGGACTCTGTGGGATATGACAACAAACTCTGCTATTAGGATGTCCTTGGGGGTGGTGTCTGTTTCTGAAAAATTGAGGGAGGGAAGACTACGGTGATTTGGGCATGTCCTTAGGCGACTACCGTCGGATGCGGTCAGAAGGGTAGAGTCGATTACAGTCAACGGTGCCAGAAGTAGAGGACGACCAATGGGGAAGTGGAAATACTGCTTGAGATCTGATTTGATGGATTTAGCCCTTACAGAGGACATGACCTCTGATAGGAAAGTATGGAGACTTAAGACTAGGGTAGTCGAGTAGTGTGGGTCACATCTCTAGGGTGTATCATCTCTGTCTTCTTTTAATGCCTTTGTAGTAATTTCCATGACTTCTACTTTTTATACGTTTCTGTTATTGGTATTTATGAAGGCTTAGAACTGGGCTTGCTATCGTTGACTTCTGTGTAACATTCTCTTCACTTTTAAATTTAGTCGGGTCTTACGTTTCTGTCTATATGCAGAGATTTTTGCAGGGATTTATTTGCAGGGATTACGGCCCAAGTACAAACGCGCATATGATATTAATGATTTCATATGAATACTGTTCAACTATATATTTATTTATACATGCAGTGCATTTTATCTATATTTTTAATTTTTTGATTGCCGGAGGTATTCCACGGAAACTACTCTCAACCTAGCGTTGGGGACAGCCTACTACCCTACCTCCCCTTACCTCATTGCATATGACAATTGTGTTATGTTGTTGTTGTCGTCTTTTTACCCCTATAACATAAATAATTATCTTAAAGTCAATTAATTAAACGGCGGGAGGCACGTTAGCCTGCAAATCGAAACCCTATTTTACTCATGGCAGGAAGTAGTCGAAGCAGAAGATCTTACGACGACCGTCCTTCCGAGTCCGATACAGACGAGACCGGCAGCGAAGAATATTCTCCTGACAGAAGCTCCCGCAAACGTAGCAAGGATCGAAGCCATCGCAGTAAAAGCAAAAGCAGCCGCCATAGCCGTAGCAGGAGTCGGCGCGGTCGTAATTCCAACGACAAATCTTCCGGTGAAGATAGCGATGGAAGCGATCAAGGCAGTAATAAGAGGAGGAGATCTTCTAGAAACATCACGGAAGAGGAAATTGCTGAGTACATGGCCAAGAAAGCACAAAAGAAGGTTTTTGGCTTTCCTTCAATTATTTCGAATATTTTGGATTTTTTGGTGATTTAATAGTTCAATTTTTTTTACTTAGGCAATGAGCGCTGCGAAGAAATTGAAAGCACAAACAGTTTCAGGTTATTCAAATGATTCAAATCCTTTTGGCGATTCAAATCTCAACGAGAAGTAAGATTCCTTTTTTTTTCAGCTTAACCTTTTTCTATGAATGACTTATATTTAAAATTTAGAGTGTTTGAACCTGGCAAACTATAAGGAACTCAAAATTTGCGGATTAATGGTCGCAATTAGTATACTTCTTACTCTATCAATTTATTAGACAATTTGTTATTTATATTAGTCTTTTGGGATCGCATGTTTCACTAAAGTAGTGACAGAATTTGTTTGATAAATGCTAATATCAATGCAAATGGGGTTGTGTATGGTTTCTAGATTTGTTTGGAGGAAGAAAATTGAGCGAGATGTTGCCCAAGGAGTGCCATTGGATGCATTTTCAGTTAAAGCTGAGAAGAAGAGACAAAAAGAGAGAATGGTAAGGTGATATTGGTTATGATTATTTTTGTTTAGTATACTAGTATTAACCGTATTGAAATTATTGATGTGTAATTGTTACATGGAATCCATTGTTTAATGAATGCTTATTCAAATTCACATCACAGGCTGAGATTGAAAAAGTTAAAAAGAGAAGGGAGGAACGGGCACTTGAGAAAGCACAACACGAGGAAGAAATGGTAAAGTTTGCTTCCTTGAATTGCATGATTGTGAACTACTACAAATTTAACCTTGTCTTGGGCTTTCTTGGCTGACATTGATTTATTTTTTGGCTTATTAACTCTCTTTTCCGGTAGGCTATGCTAGCCAGAGAACGTGCTCGAGCTGAGTTTGACGATTGGGAGAAGAAAGAGGAGGAGGTATGGTGTCGAGTTCTGTATGTTGATACTATTTTTTCTGTTTCATTTAAAATTGGTTAGTATAGTAACATGTGCTCTCTACAGTTTCATTTTGATCAAAGCAAAGTCAGATCAGAGATTAGATTGCGTGAAGGCCGTATGAAGCCTATTGATGTTTTGTCCAAGCACCTTAATGGCTCGGATGATATGGATATAGAGCTAAATGAACCATACATGGTTTTCAAGGTATATCTTCCTCCATTATTGATTCTCTTGGACTTGATACCTTTTCATACCTGTAACTTTGAACTTAGAACATTTTAAATATTATTTCATTGAAGAATAATTTGCTAAATATGATTAGATAATGGGAGTTCTCTTTTGTTGGTTGTACGTTAGTTTCCTGTTATTTTACTTATTTTTTGGACCTCACTTTAATAGAATGATAATTGTGTACTGAGCCTCAGTGCTACGTAATCAGAGTGCTTTATTGTTATCGATATTTTAACATATTCATTTGTTTTATTTGTGATTATTATTGACCTTGGTGTCTGATTCAGGGGTTGACAGTTAAAGAGATGGAAGAGCTTCGTGACGACATCAAAATGCATCTTGATTTGGACAGGGCAACTCCAACACACATAGTTTACTGGGAGGTATTGCATTTTCACTCCTTATTCCTGCTGGGTGGAGACTATAGAGTCTACTGTTTTTTGATATTTCTATGTTGATTGCAAAGATTCCCAGCTCTCTGTTTTTAATTTAATTTTGCTTATTTGAATTTCCCGTCCTGTGTACTCATAAATTTGTAAAATATAAGAGCCATGTATTTAAAAAATGGCTAAAATGGATTCACATTGCTTAATTTAATTGATTGAAGGGTTTAATGAATCAAGAGTAGTAAGAATATATATTTTCTTCATCCCCAACTTTAACAGAATCTTGCTATTTGAATTTCACAGGCACTTATGGTGGTGTGTGATTGGGAGCTAGCTGAAGCCCGAAAGAAGGATGCACTTGACCGAGCTAGGGTGCGTGGGGAGGAACCTCCAGCTGAGTTGCTGGCAGAAGAAAGGGGTCTGCATTCTAGTATTGAAGCAGATGTCAAGGATCTTTTGGAAGGGAAGACCCACAGGGAGCTGGAGGAATTACAATCCAAGATTGAGTCACAGATGCGAACTGGCACAGCAAAGGTTGTTGAGTATTGGGAAGCCGTTCTTAAACGTCTTCATATTTTCAAGGCAAAGGTAAATCTGTTTAGATGTTCTTCATGGTAATATTGTTTAATTCATGAATTTTATCTGGTACTTATGTGTTAATTTGTGTCAACAGGCATGTTTGAAGGAAATACATGCTAAAATGCTGCATAAACATTTACAACGACTCGAGCAACCTTCGGAAGGTGAAGATAGGCTGGAATCTGTTGGTGGTTTAAGACCTGTGGAGGAGGCTAGTGATCATGATGTGAAAGGTATGTGTTTAGTCAAGGTCTCAAGGGGATATGGTTCATTTTTAGATTCTGAATCTATAGGAAAATTTGCTAATATTTTTTGCCCATTAGATGCTGAAACATTTTCTCCGGAACCGATAATACAAGAAGAGACTCATGAGGTGGAAGAAGAGGCTGGATCCTTTTCACCAGAACTGTTGCATGGTGATGAAGATGAAGAAGCTATTGATCCAGAGGAAGACAGGGCTATATTGGTAACTCTATATCTATCTTACCCTTGATATGAATGCTAGCTAAGGAGTCCTTGTGATTAACCATTTTTCTCCTTAACAGGAAAGGAAACGCATGGCTTGGTTAGAGGAGCAGCAAAGACGGATGCAAGAAGCTTTGGCATCGAAACCTGCTCCTTCAGAAGATAACTTTGAGCTGAAAGCTATGAAATCTATGGGAGCAATGGAGGAGGGTGATGCTGTATTTGGCTCTGGTGCTGAAGTTAACTTGGACTCACAGGTACTGTAGCAACTCGTCCTATATTCAAATAATTTAGGAATTTTTCTTTTTGCCGCTCTCTAACTTTCTTGAAATCAACTAATATATTGGAGCAGGTGTATTGGTGGCATGACAAATACCGACCTAGAAAACCAAAATATTTCAACCGTGTTCACACTGGATATGAGTGGAACAAGTACAATCAGACCCATTATGATCATGATAATCCTCCTCCCAAAATTGTGCAAGGATATAAATTTAATATCTTCTACCCAGACCTTGTCGACAAGATAAAGGCTCCTGTATACACTATTGAGAAGGATGGTAACAGTTCAGAGACGTGCATCATACGATTCCATGCTGGACCACCCTATGAGGACATTGTAAGTTTAGCTTCATTTAGCCTTTCTCGAGCAAATTACTGATCCATCTGCTTAGTGTTTTTTTATAAATTACTGACTCTAGAAATTGCATGACAGGCGTTCCGAATCGTAAACAAAGAGTGGGAATATTCTCATAAGAAGGGATTTAAATGCACATTCGAACGTGGAATTTTACATGTATATTTCAACTTCAAGCGCTATCGTTACCGTAGGTAATATGTGGTTGATTTTGCAATTTCAACTTTGCAAGTTGTGGCTGCCGGCCATGAAATTCTGCTCATATAAACATTAAGGTAACTTCAGGATTTTAAGTATTCTCAGATTTGAAGCTTTAGTGTTCTAAATTCTTTCAGTTTATGGCCAATATATATTTCAATTGGTCTCTGGCACTATTCACACTGTTCTGTTGCACTTGGAACAATAATGTGATAACTCTTGTTGTTGGAATTTTTATTGAGTTGGGACTCTGAGATTGTATCTACTTATCATCTCTTGGTTTCATGAACATTGGCTATGAAATTTAATATCTCCATTGCTGGTAATGATTTAGGGTAAACATAGTATTGTTAAAAGAGTGCATTTTCAAAATGACGAGCTTTTTGTAAAAACAAATTCTCATTTTGGTCTATTATTAATTAGCAAAGTGGTTTTGATTTAACCTTGATTGGATTTGTCAATAAATATTGTTTTAAAAAAAAAGTATAAGTATGATTATTAAGGGAAAATAATACAAGGATAAAACATAAATAACATTGACATACTCTCATTAGAAAACCTGCCTAGACCTATTTGGAGGAAAAAAGAGTGTTCGTGTCAATGTCTATAGGAGAACAAACATCATAGCATATACTCTCAAACACTTAGCACCACATCATAATTTCGAATAAAATCCCAAACTAACTGATCATAATACTATCACTTATCAACACAGGCTTCCAGTCTCCCCTAAAGCGCAACATCATGTCCCCTAAATCCTCGAAACCTTTTAAGCTCAGAAAAATGCAAGCCGGTCAGCTGCAACACCAAAACAGACTTCAACATTGTGTAGGAGGCCATAGTCTGCATTTATCTGCCGATCCATTAAAACCATGAGAACTCACAAATCGAAACAGTACATTAAAACCAGCATTAACCTGAGAGCAAACCCAAGAGCAGAAGCACATTTATAGACAACTTTCTTTCAATATCTCAAACCAGGAAGCTGCAAACTCCTCCCTCTTTGAGCTTTGTCCATCTGAAATACCATTTGTTACCCTCTCAAGATCATCATTCTGCCTTTTCCTAAATCGGTAGTCCACTGGATACAAAATACTAGTTGATCTGTCAAGGAAGCAGTAAAATGCTTTTCATGCTAACTTATTAAGCATTTGATCAATGAAAGGGAGGGGAAAGTGGTCTTTCTTCGTTGCCTTGTTGAGCTTCCTATAATCCATGCAAATCCGCCAACCTCTGTAGCGTTATGGAGATGGAAAGCTAAAAGACTTGCCACAGTGAAAGATGGACAACAGACCTGGACCAGAAAAGACAAAATAGCAAAAATATCTTTGCAAGTTGTCCAGCCACACATGACTCACCACCCCTACTGCAAATTTTGGGACCACCTGCCACAATAACCACCAATTCACGTGAGAATGATGCCACTTAGGGTAAAAAGGGAATTTTGGGCCCAAAACCCTAGAAATATTCCCTCTATAAATACCAAGGTACACTATATTTTTAGGAGAGCTTTTTGGGAGGTGACCTAAGAGATAGGCGGCTGCACATTTCCATTTCCTTTTTCATCCTCTTTTTGTGGTGTCCTTTATAGCCAAGCTTCGAATGAGGTAGCAACTAGATCTCGAGAGAGGCTAGCTTGCTAATTCGATGCATTGTGGTGGAGCTAGGTCACAGAAGCAACTCATTTTGGAGTTTTTCTTCTCCTTGTGCTTTATTTTCTATCTATTTGGGCTTGTACTAAACTTGAATGATTTTGGATGAACTTAGCCACACAATGTATTACCTTATTTGGCGTTGGATTTATGTTGGATGATTTTATTTTATGTTAATGGATGGTTTGGATGTTTTTATGTTTAAATGTTGTTTTGCTTACTATCTTTATTTTTATGCTTTGTAGCATTATAAGAGATTTTTGAGAGATTGTCGTTTGCTGTATCGTAATATGTTTATTCTTGTAAGAGCTTTTAAGAGATTGTCATTTTCTAAGTATAAATACTTAGTATCGAGAGAGTTAGATTAGATCTACTTGAGCAAGGGAGCCAAACCGAGATAGGGAGGTTCTAACCCACCTTAGAGATAAGGAGAGGTTCTAACCCACCTTAGAGATAAGGAGAGGGTTTCATTCGACTAAAAGGATAGGCTAGTGTTGCAGTTCACGCTGAGTGGTATTGTCGTAGCATTAGTTTTATCAAGTTCCTTTCTTAAGAGAGTTTAGAAACATTTTTAGCAAATTCTATTAGGCAATATACTCATAGGAGTAGAGATCATCCTTAGCATAAAATATTATTGTCATAGCAAATCCATACCATTTACCTTCAGAGAGCTTGATTGTGTGAGGTTGTCAGACTTATCTCATTTCCAAAATTTAATTTATTTTACTGCTTTAGCGTCTTTTGCAATTTATTTAAATTATTGTCTCAATACACTTTTACATTTTCAATAATTTTCACCACAACAATTACAATTCACTTCACTCCATTCTTTCCACAACATTCCATCACCATTTATACATACCATCTGCCACAACAGTATTTTCATCAGTTTATACCATTGTAAATATATAATTAGATTTGGTTAGTTCTAGATTTAGTTCGTGACAACTTTTTTTTGCTATAGCTTACTTTTGAAATACCTCAAATCCCTGTGGAGACGATATTCACTTATTATTGTATTACTTACATTGATTGTGTATGCCTACACAGGGTATAACCTAAATGGTACTCTAGTTTATCAAATGAAAAAAAAACTCAAAACTCAAACTATGTTTTAGGTTTTAACCTAAAAAGTTAATCTACATGATTTATTATGTCTGTAATATTTTAGGTTCTAACCTAAAAAGTTACATATCCGATAAAAAATGGATTACAACCTAAAATCAGAGACAAAACATAATGAGGACATGTGGGGGCCACAACTCCTCCCAAAAAATATTAAAGATTATAATGTAGACTTTTGAATTTTAAAAAAAAAATTATTTGGCCTCCAAATTAAAAAAATATATTAATCTTTAAATTTTTTAATGTTCTTAATTAAAATTCTCCCATAATTTATAAAAATTCCCATTAAATCTCTCAAAATTTTAAAATTTTTAGTTAGACCCCAATTTCCTTAAAAAAATATAAATTGAACTCTTCAAAAAATTTAATTTTTTTATTTAAACCTATAAATTCTTTAAAATTTTAAGTCGCCCCCAAATTTTATCACCACATTTCACCACTGCTTAAATGTTAAATGAGTGGTAAGCTTTTGAGAAAATAATGTAACATTTTAGGTTATAACCGATTTTTTTTTCAATTATGTAACTTTTAGGTTGAATATGATAGCATTTTAGGTTGGATAATGCAAAATGTTACATTGAGCATAATAAATTATATAAAGTGGGTAATTTTTTGGGTAAAACCTACAAAGTTATTGTTTTGATTTTTTTTATTCATTAGAAAGAGTAAAATTTTATATTGTAACCGTTTCTCTTACTAGGTACATAATTGTTTAGGTTGGAATGAGTAACATTATTATAGTGTTGTCGAGAGGTTCCTTTTTAAAATCTGGTCGATTAAAAATCAAGATTTTGTAAAAACATTCGTCTTGAATAATTTGGGACTCGAGTTTTAAAAAAAATCGATTCGTGGAGCTGTCACCAATCTTTGATTACGGAATTGGGCACCCAAAAACATATTTTTCATTTTAATAAAATATTAATTTTAATTAAAACGATAATTTTATGGTCTATATTATAAAAAATTTGAGTTTGAAAGTCGGTTACATATGGGAATAAAACTTATACATTCGGCTATAATTTATTTTGAGATCCTTTTTAAACACATACAAAATAAGACAAAAATTAAAAACATATATCAAACGAATACAATTAATTAACTATTTTACCAACCTTTAATGAGAATAAAAATGTTTAATTATTTGAAGACATTGAAACTAGACCTTAGATCCAATCTAAGTAGCAATCATTACATAATAAGTAAAATGAAATAAATATGGCATATTAGCATGCATGGCATATTACATATATACATATATCGAATAACATAATATAGAAATAAATACATACAATTATCAAATATGTTCATATACAAGGGAAATATAAAAACAAGCATCACCAAATCATAATGTAATAATAATTTACAAGAGGAAACAGAAATAAATACATGAACATAAAACAGGATTAATATGCGGAAAAATAAAGAAGCTTAAAATAAAACAAATCAAAACTTCATTTAGTAACTAAAATAAGAGTATCACAAATATCTAGGGACCTATAATGTAATTACCATAAATAGATACATTGGAATCGTAAATACATCATAAGTTTAATTCTAAATAATCACCTATTCACAAAAATGCAAAATAGCATAATAAGGGCATACAATTCAAAATAAAAATAAAAAGTGCAACACAGGGGACTAAAGTGTAAAAACACGCTAAAACTGAAGAGACCAAAAGGCGATTCTTCCTAAAATTCGTAGCAAATTAAAGAGCATAAGATAAAGGAAAAATTGCAAAATTAGGACTAGGAGTCGAAATGAAATAAAAAGCATCCCGAACTAGTGATCAGAATGCAAAAACAAAAGGAGAAGTTTGAGGGCTTGAAAGCAAATACCCCCTAGACTTTAAGTATAAAAGCCAACTATTTTTTTCTTCAAATGAAACCCTAGCAGCAAAAAAAAAAAAACCTCTTTTTTTTACTCTCAACCGAGAGAGAGTATGAACATCCTCTTTGGCTGCCCTCAATCGACGCCGACCACCACTTGTCGATGACAAAAAATATCGATTTTCAACCCTCTTTTTTTTCTTCTTCTTTTCAAAAATCAAAATCAAACAAACAAGAAATGCTCATAATAGAGTAGATCTAGGCTTGAAGATTCGAAATAAAAGAAAAAGAAAATACCTTATCAAAATTTCTCTTTCATTTCTTTAAGTAAATGGTGTTACAAGCCTAAGAAGACTATTACAAAGGTATTTTCGGTTAGTAATTTTAAAAAAAAAAGAATAGTTCGATTAACGAATAAAAGAAAAATTCAAATTCGATTCTATTAGTGATTAAATTAGAGGTTTGAACACCCCTTTTAACATGTATTCTGTAGGCTATTATTTGGTTATCGATAACGGCCAAAATATCCCATCAGTAGTGTAATTTGACAAAGTTTGTAATTTAGTCCCTATACTTAAAAATCTATATTTAAAAATAAATTATAGCTCAATTATTGGCACCCTTGATATCTTGTGTCAAAATTTGCAAGCATGTGAAATTGTCATGGTCCAAGTCAATTTATTGGACCACCTTGACTGACAACTACACAATCGACTCCATCTACTACAACAAAAACCACCAAACGTGGTATTAGGATTTAGGACAAACATAGCCATGATCTCATGACTTGGTTCATTTTTGTCAATATTACCAGGCAGTGGCGGATAGTTTAGAGTACACATTTAAAATATGGTTTTTCTTCGATTAATTAATTATTTTATTAGTTAATTAATTGAACACATGTGAAAGTGTCATATCAACAATATGGATTATTAGTTAACTAACTGTTTACATCTAACATCAAGGCCGTGGTTAGGTTGTCGGAGGTCCTATGTAAATTCTTATAAAGGGCCCCCTATTTTCTAGATATATTCGATTTCGGGACCCCTATTTTTATGATTCTTAATGGCAACAACTGATAAATATATTCGATTTTGGGGCCCCTATTTTTATATTTCTTAGTGACAACAATTAATAGATATACTTAATTCCGGGACCCTTTTTTTTATGTTTATTAATGACAATAACTGATAGATATATTCGATTTTGGGGCCCCTGCACGGTCGCGCTCCTCAGCCACGCCCCTGTCTAACATTGATAATTTTAATTAAAAAATGAACATTAGAGGACTAAAAGAATTAAGAAAAAGAAAAATGTAAATTAAAATGATCATTAAGTAAACGGTGAGGCTAGTTTTGTTATTATGACAAGCCAAATTATCATCCTAAATTAACATTCCATTTTAAATCGATTCTTGTAGGGCCTGCAACTAGTTTTTACGTTCCCGGTCTAATGAAAAACTCAATCCGTGCCCTATGCAACGCATACACCTCCGAAAGGTTCAACCCGACGACGAGGGAAGTATCGATTCCGGAGATCAGTCTCAAAAGAGACAAATTAGAGGGGTTGATCGACGGACCGTCTCTGTCGAAGCGTTCGATTCTCTCTTTTTTCGCCGGAGGGAATCACGGTTCCGTAAAACCCATACTGTTCAAGCATTGGGAGAAGAAAGACCCCGAAATCCAAGCCCATAGTTACCTTCCAAGAGGCGTCTCTTACTCCGATCTAATGAGGCAAAGCAAATACTGCCTTTGCCCCAGCGGGTACGAAGTTGCCAGACCTAGAATCGTAGAGGCATTGTACAATGGGTGCGTCCCGGTGCTGATTTCCAAATCTTATGTGCCACCATTCACTGATGTTCTGAACCGGAAATCATTTGCTGTGATCGTTTCTTTGGAACAAATTCCTGATTTGAAGAACATTTTGATGGGTATACCGGAAAGGAAGTACATAAGAATGCAGATGAGATTGATTCGAGTGAGAAGGCATTTCGAGTTGCATGTGAATCCCAAGACGTTTGATGTTTTCCATATGGTACTTCATTCGATTTGGCTTAGAAGATTGAATGTCAGAGTCAGTGATGATCATGGAGAAATGTTGTTGGATTGATGATGAATTATTTAGATCATAAATATACTGCATCTTTGTAAAGTAATAAGTTCCCAGGGCACGAACCAACTTATAGTTAAAGGAATCGTTGTTATTCTTAGAAGTTACGGGTTCTAGCATTAGCGACTGTAGCAGAGTGATTGAGGTCACAGATTCGAGCATTAGCGGCTGTAGCAGGGTGATTGAGCATTCATTATCAAATAATTAAAAATACTTATAACATATACTATTTTATAATCACCTTAGTTTAATAATAATAAAAAAGTTTCCAACGATTTCTTACGTAGATCTTTAGGATGTAATTATGATTTTAATCCGCTAAAATAAAAATGGTTAAAATATGTTACAAGACCCTATAGTTTTTATACATTTAGAATTTAATCCTTCTACTTTTATTTTCAAGAATTTAGTCATCTATTTCTCGATTTACAAATTCGAGTCAACTGTTACAATTCTTCTATTAAACTTATTGATGTAATAAAAAAAGGATGTTGTAATGAATTTGAATTTAACATGAAAATTTAAACATCATTAATAATTGGATTTGAATTTTTAAATTTTATAAATAGAGATATTAGATTCTTCAAATTAAAAGTAGAGCAACTAAACTAAAAATATGTGGAGGATACAAAGACTTGAAGCATATTTTAACCTATGCAAAAATTTAAAGATTTGATCCTTAAGTAAATTTTTAAGATTTTATTCTTACATAAATTTTAATTTTTAATTTTATATAATTTAATATTTTCATGTAACAAATCCAAAATTATAATAGTACAAAAAATTGATGATTCTACAATAATGTCACACACATACATTAGTAATGACATACAAATAATATATACTATTGATATAAATGATCATTAAATTTTATTAAAACGATCTTATTTGTTATTGAGTTTTTAAAAGTTATAACATAAACATCAAATTTTTGGATTTTGTTAAAGAATGGGTATTTACAATTAAATGTTGTTAATAGAGTGACATAACATGCTAAATTAATGAAAATATCTTATTTGAACCTTCAGCTGTAACTAAAGTTTAATTTTTGATATTCTCATTAATTCTATAAAAAATAATTCATCAAATTATTTTATAACTAATTATTTATTTAAATGCGATTGTATTTCTAAAATTAAAATTTTATAATTTTAAAAATCCAAAAAAATTAATTATCAAATAATAAAAATATTTTTTATTAAGTGACGTGATTTAAACATTTAACTTTTGTTTAAGAAGTTTAAATACAATTTAAAAAATAATACATGCAGAAAATTTATAATATCACATTACTAATAAAAAAATCCAAACTTAAATAAAAACAGTCGAAATAATCATTAACTTTTAACAACGTATCAAATAATTTACATGGTAAAAATAATTTATAATATGACACTAAAAATAATATTTAATTTATTTACATCTATTTAGTTTTCAAATTCAACAAACCTAATAAAAATTATTTCGATTAAAATTTACAATAAAATAAAATTTTGGTTATAATTGAAGGATCAAATGTTATATATTCCTTTAATTTAGGCTGCCTCATCACTTTTGTGTCCATTTTGTAACAAAAATCTAAAATTTAATGTCCATTATGTAACTTTTGAAAGTTCAGTTTTTGATATAGTTTAATAAACATTTGTAAATTTTATACTATAAAATCAGTGGTAAATATTTATGACATTCCTTCTAAAATTTTTCTATATATATTCGAAGGACAGAGTTGAATTTTATATCCTGGTAGTGACTTTCTCATCATCTATTCATTCATCATTCAACTTTATTTATTTTGTTTGTTGTAATTGTCAGATTTATGCAAAATTTTTGTGTACAAATGGTTTTCATCCACATTAAATATAAGACACTCCATGGATATATGAGCATCAATCACTTGAAATTTTAACGAGACAATACAAATGCACATTTTGGGGGAGAAACGGGTGCATGTCTATGATAGATTCATCAGCTTTATATGTTGTGCAAAATTTTATGTTGAGAGTATGAACTTTTGGGATGAAAATAAATTATCTAAAGAAAATACTTAAATTATATATGAGAATTTAAAATTTTCAAACAATGATGACCCCTCTCGGTCCATCCTGATATGTATGTGTTATATGTGTGTAATGAATGCATGCAAGTCTCATGTATGTGTTATATGTGTGTATTGTATGCATGCAAGCCTCACAGTTAGATTAAAACAACAACGCTGAACTTTGCAGGCATGTTAGAACTTAAAACCAAAGTGCAATGGAAAGAAGAAGAGAACATGCATTTAAAATGAATAACTAAAGACTTTATCTTATGTCATAACCATTTTTGAAAATTTTTATATTTAGAAACAATTATGACTTTATTTGAAGGAAAAAAATGATATTTTGAATTATTTTGAATTGACCTTTGGGTTAGGTAGATCGAATCTCTAAAAATCGTATTTTAAAACAAAAACTTGTATGCTTTACCAAAAACTTATTTGTACAGATTCGGAAATCGATTACGCGTGGAGAATGATAAGCACCCTCACAACGCCCAAAATTAGTACTTAGTCGTTTATACAATGTCGTAAATGGTGGACATCATGAATTCGTAATTAATATTTAAAGTATGATCCTTTTTGTAAACACTAATTTTCGTCCACATATTTTATATATATATATATATATATACATATACATATACATATACATATACATCTATGTATATATTATAGTTCGCAAACGGTTTTAAAAATACATATATAATATATAGGTTTTTTTTTAAAAAGCATTTTGAAAATGAATATAGTATATAGTTTTTAAAACAGTTTTGAAAACTATATGATATATAGTTTTTAAGACATTTTTAGAAAAAAAATATATAATATATGGTTTTTAAAATCATTTTTTGAAAACTTATATAATATATAGTTTTTTAAAGCATTTTTGAAAACTTATATATAATATATAATTTTTAAAACATTTTTGAAAATTATATAGTTTTTTGAAAACATTTTTTTGAAAATTATATAGTTTTTTAAAAAAAATTGAAAATTTATATATAGTATATAGTTTATAAAAAGAAACAATTTTAAAAAATGTATATTATATAGTTTTATTTATTTATTTATTATTATTATTATTATCATTATCATTATTTATTATTATTATTTTTATTACTTATTTTATTTTATTTTTCCCGTTTCCAGGTCCAATAACAGTCCAAGCAGTCCAAGAGTTGAGCCTGAACCAGCTCAAAGGTCCAACCAGAACGGGCCTGAACTAGCCCATCAAGGGATTAGGGTTTCTCGGTCTCAGTCAGCGCCGCAGGGGAGGTTACACAGTCAAAGGGAGAACGGTCGGCCGAGATCCCCGGGATTGACCCATCCCGGGATGATCAGCCAACCACGAATAGAACGACATGAGGCCCGAAACATACGAAAACAGTCCCCGTCGGGGCTGTATAAATAGACACGGGGCAACCATCGAAGGGGGAGAAGAATCAACAGGAAACAGAGAGCCATCACTGACAACTGTCGTTTCGATGTCAAAATAAATTCCTTCTTCTCGGATAATAATTAAAGGAAAATTCATAGCATAGAGAAGTAGGGTCGAATCCACAGGGACTTAGAAAATTATAAATTTATGTCTGATTTATTTATACCAGGCGTGAAAAGTAATAAAAAGGGGGGGTTTTTGGTAGAAAGGTAATAAAAGCGATTAAATAAATAAAAACAATTGAAGTAAAAATAAGATAATAAAGACTGTAAATAAATACTGTAAAAATAGCCTCGAGCTTCGCTTTGACTCAATTTCCTTAGATCATCGAATAAGATTTTCTCTTCGGGATTCACGTCGGTTACTTTGTCTACAAAGGCTATCCTTGTGACTCTATCTTGTATACCGGATACCCAAGGCAATCTTTGATTCCGGCTTCGGTAATTGATTCTAACAACATATATTGTCGTAGATCAAATACCGTTTAAGTTCGTGGCGACCGACTCGGATTGTTGTTTCTATAACCGTCAATTCCGATCTCAATTCTCTCTTGGCGAAGCTATCTCGCCAAGTGTGTTCCCAGGAAGTCGAATTGCTTTCTATAAGCTGAATCTTCCTCCCACACGTTTTAATCGCAACAACCTCTTGACCAAAGTCAATCTTTGATTTTGAAAACTGTTTTGATTTGTGAAAAATAAGCGCAGAGATTGAGAGAGATATTCCGAAGATATTAAGGGACCGTTTCAATTCTCCCGTTGGAATTGAATCATCGCGACAACTCTCGGCTTATGAAAAGTTTAGCTAAGCATGACAAAAGTCATACTTAGCATAAAAATAAAACTTGAAAATAAAGAAAAATAAAAAAAACTTGAAAAGGAAAAGAGAAAACTTTTATAAAAACTAGAGAGAAAAGAAGAATATATTCTGAATGATTATTTTAGGCTTACCCCAAGTGGGTATTTATAGCATCTCAAAGCCTAAAGGATAAGCAAAGAAAATAATAAAATAATACAAAAGATAATTGTTTTTAAATTTAAATTCAAACTTAAACTAGTCTCCTAATGCAACTCTGCTTGTCAATCTTCCAGAAGGCGTGCAGACGAAGTCTCCTAGAAACCGCAGCTGACTGGACCTTCTAGAAACTGCCATGTCAGACCGCGTCGTGCTCAGAGTCGTGCCCATGTCTCCAGCCGTGACCAAATAATAAAAAAAAATGCAGAATTCGCCCGTTTTATCGCCAATTCTGGAAAGTAAGGACCTGCACGAAAATAGACATAACACAACCAAATCAACAGCAATAACTTCACAAAATCGAAGAAATAACGAACAGATATTAACGATTCTGAACACTCATCAATCACAAACAAACCAACGTCGAGAATCACAAAGTCAAACAACACAGGATCATCGGAAAAAAACCAAAAACGACAGTAAACCATGAGACACCACAACCATACAAAAAACGACCACAAAAATATCAGGTAAAAAACCAAAAACAGTTGAGTAAATAGCGAAGCACAAAGAGCCTCCGGGAAGCCGAGAAGTTACCGTCGAAGGTAAA